AATAGTCCAACAATTGTCAAACCACAACATAAGCAACGGATGTTAACAAGTACAACATTTTATTTATAGCATTTTATCATGACTCTCAAGCTCCTATATTGTTCTTAGATGATGTTTTAACGCTATAGAAATAATACCATGAAGCAAAAGATGGTTCAATCTTATGGGTTTCTATTTTGAGAGCAATTTTTTTATAAATTCAGCAGATGAAAATGACAGGTGCTGGTGGAAGATGATGGTCGGCACTGGTAGTGGACGACGGCGGTCGACGCCAGTGGTGGAAGACGACAGGCCACAGTGGTGGTGGTAGAGGATACACTGCTGGTCAGTGGCACGAGATGTTTTGGATATGCCTATTTTCACTGTTGCATCTGAGTTAGCATTTTGTACTAGGGGTCATGTATTAGATCTATTTCGTAACTCTCTTACTCCTAAGATGGTGGAGACTCTTATTTGTTCACAAGATTGGATTTGGGCTACGCGTGCACTATTCCTTAGTAAGGAGAGCTTGGATGAATTATTGGAAATTGAGTCGGGTAAAACTTTTGCTTTAGTTTCAATTATTTATTATTTAGTTCAAATAATTAATATTTACTTATATTTATTTTTTTTCCCACGTTTATTGTAGAATTTTTGTCTATGGCATTAGACAATACTTGTGGTCATCTAGATGAGTGATGGTTCTATGGCATTTTCTATGGGTTCAACCCCCGGAAGGTAGAATATACAATCTCATTGTCTTTTTCCTTTTTCTATTTTGAATTTTTTAAATTATTACAGCCATTATCTCATTGCAGTAAGCTATTTTTTTACACTTCTATTTTATTTTCCTTGTTAAATCATGTTCATGTTACATGTTGAAAATTTTCCTTAATCTATCTACAAATTTTTGGATGAAGAAATCTACCACAGATTGCTATTGGATTTTGGAGTTGGATGAAGAAAGATGTTCTTATTTGATATTTGTATTTGTTCAGTTGGATTAAAATTTCAAACTTTAATTAAAATACATTTGGAGTAAAACATTTTATGTTTGGTGTATGTAAAATGTTTTATGTTTGGAGTGTGTAAAACATTTTATGTTTGATTAAATTTTGAAATTTTGAGGAAGTTTGGAAGAAACATTTCATGTTTGATTAATAGGTTATGTTGGAAATTCGGGTCTACATTCGAGTACCGGTAACCGAACCAAAATTTCTGGTACCCATATATTCGGGTATTTCATAAACAGTTCAGTTACTAGGTACTATTGTTAAGCTACCCGAATATTCAGGTTGGGTGGAGAAAGGGCACATTCGGGTCGGGTACCTGGTTTTGCCCACCCCTAGATGGAACAGTGTCGTCCTTGCTTGGAACGGCTTGGAGTATACACAAATGACCGTTCATTCTCTTAGAATGGGCGTTCCACCTCAAATCTTCAAATGCACCAATTTTGGAAGGAATGATGAACGACTTGTGAGAACAGGGCATTCCAACTAGAATGGCTTGACTAGAGTTTGGCTCGATTTAGACATATTGTAGAGCGACTTGATGGAACAGGCGTTCTGTCTAGAATGGCTTGACTGGAAGTCTTCTTTATTTGGTTTGAATGATGAACGACTTGAGGAACGAGGTCATTCCGTGCGGAATGGCATTTTTGGAGTTAGGAACGGGCGTTCGTCCTTCATGAACAGGCGTTCTGACATATAATTTTGCATTTTCATTATTGGTTATGACTTATATCATACTTTGGCATTTTTTAGTTCTTATACAATCATTTTGTTAGTTTTGGCACATCAAAACACTCAATGGTTCAACAATGTCCTGCAACCAAACAATCCAATATCACATGATTCAAAACATATTAGATTACGATTGAGACTAAATTCAACATGAAAGAATTGATTTAATGAAAGAATACTGAAATTGTATCATATCTAAATGATTGCTAATTCCCCAACCAAAAAGAGAGAGAGCAAGCTTACAAATGTATTTCTAACATTGAGAATTGTGTTCGCTTAAGTCTTCATCACAATATTAACAAAAAAAAAAAAAAAAAAAACCCTACGTTAACAAGAAAGCAAAATTTCCAATAACTTTGCATTGTTACTATGTTGTTGAATTCACAAATTGAATTAACAGATACATACCTCAACACCTACAATTTTGAAACAGTAGCCCATCATGTTCAACTTTTAACATGAGGAATAATGCCCCACATAGTAGTTAAGTTGCTTTTTTTTTTTTTTTTGTTGGAGCAACAACTTCGGATGCTTTTACACTGTTTGAAACCACTTGTTGTTCTTCATAACACGGTGCAGTAGAAAAAAATACTATGAAAAAATTCCTAGGCTCTAAAATGCCCTAGGAATATAAGGGAAATTTAAAGGGCAAAAAATCTTTGTAGGAAATGGTTAAGATAACACTCGATTATAGTGTTAGATTGCCCTTTAGAAATTTGTATCACCCATAAAAATTCACTTAGTTAAAATAATAGGGACTTCTTTAATAGTATGTTGAGACTAAAGTGAAATTAAATTACCTATAGGGATTAATCAATATTATCCAGTCATGAAAATTAAATGAGACAAAATTTTGAACATTTTAAATAACTTTGTCTAAAAGCTTGTTTCAAGTTAAAAAATCAACTTTGGTATAAATAATCAAATTAAAAAAATTTGAATATTTTAAACGACGACATCAATGATATTAATAAGGTGAATACCCATTTTAACAATATAATATAACCGTCTGTCTATAAAACTTTAATAAAATTATATTGCTAAAGCAATTCTTACATCTTTGGAAAAAAAAAACGTTTCATCAGATTTAGATATATTAGAAACTTTGTTAGGAAGGATATGTCAATGCTTGGAGACAAAAAAAAAAAAATTATTCTTCTTGTAAATGATGTGTGGATAGAAATTCCCAAAATTTGGGAACACTTTAGATATCCTTCCATTGAAATTTGATCATTCTTATTGTAAGGATCATACATACTATAGTTTGCAGTAGAGACGTAACCCTATTCCGTAAACCATCAGCCCAACTTTGTCCACGGTTCGAGGTAACTCGACCAGCCAACAGTCAGACCCTATCCATAAGGGACATGTTATCCATGGGACTCAACCTATGATCAACCTCTAATACTACTTGTTAGGATCAGGCTCTTACCACTAAGCCAAAAGATATAGCTGGTAGAAGAATGACAACCCTATATCCTTAAACCATCAACCCTACACGCTCATGGTTTGAGATGAGTCGCACCACTGGCCTTCGCCACGGCAAGATGCTGGCCCACCTAGCCAACACTTATTATAGATGATGTTTTGTTGGATATATTTGAAACTTACATGGATACTTGAATCTGATACCATCAATTCAATTCAATTTAAAATAAAGACAAGGCATAATAATTGAATGAATTACAAATGTATATAATGTAATAAAATAAAATAAAATAAAAAAACTAATTTGCTTACTAAGTTTTATTTTTATACTCGTTATAATTTATTATGATCATAGTTGATTTTTTCGTGAATCCTAAGTGATTCTTTTAAGTGTGTTAAAGATTTGTTTAAATGGGAAGAGAATTTTGTTTGGCAAAAGGCTTATGTTGTTTCTCGGTGAAAGTCATGTAGGATGTTTGTTATAGTTTAATTTAATTTCCTCTCGGTAAGATACAAATACTTGAGGGGTATTCTAGTACTTGAATGCTTAGGTACTGATATTGTTTAATATATTTCTTTTACTTTTAAACTTATAAGACTTTAAAGCATTTTTATAATGAGAGAAAGACAATTATGAAGATTAAAGGTATGATTTGTCTTTATATGTCCTGTATGTATCTTTGTAAGATTAGCATTTCTCTTTTATAATATGGCTAAACGAACATACATAGAAAAATCTACAAAATTTTATGTAGCGAAGGTGATAAGACTTAGCTTTTGTGAATGGGAAGAGAGAAAGCAAGTAGGTCTGATTCTAAAACAATAAATAAAAAAAAATATTATGTACAAGAGACACAAAGAACCTAAGCAAACAGTATTAGAACCTCATTCTTTTTCTTTGATTACGTTTGTTTGATTATTTGCCTTTTTTATTATAAGATTAGATTTCGTTCGCATTCTGATCTAGTTCANCTTCTAAACTTATAATATGGCTAAACGAACATACATAGAAAAATCTACAAAATTTTCTGTAGCGAAGGTGATAAGACTTAGCTTTTGTGAATGGGAAGAGAGAAAGCAAGTAGGTCTGATTCTAAAACAATAAATAAAAAAAAATATTATGTACAAGAGACACAAAGAACCTAAGCAAACAGTATTAGAACCTCATTCTTTTTCTTTGATTCCGTTTGTTTGATTATTTGCCTTTTTTATTATAAGATTAGATTTCGTTCGCATTCTGATCTAGTTCATTACAGAAAAAAGTTACAACTACAGAATCTCTTTTGAATAAGAGAAGTGGATAAGAACATCCCAGCATATCTTAGTAATATCACTGGATACAAAGAAAAATAAAATAAAATAAATATAAGTCTCTCTCTACACCCTAGGTCTTGGAATTTTATGTCCATTATTTTTTTCTGTTTTTGATAAGATTTTATTCCTATAGCCACTCAAACAGTAAACCTAATAAAGTTGTACATAGATCCAGCACTATCTATCTCTTTCTTTTTCGGCCTAATATGTTTTTGATTTATCCGCCTTAGGTTTTGGAATATCATAATTATTCGAATGATTTATACCTAAGAGTACAAAAGAGGCAATTATCTTACCCAAAAGATAAAATCATAAGTATTGATATGATATCAAAGTTATTCAGTTTTATAGGATTATTTTTGCAATATTGTTTCGCATTAGTTGATCGTTCTCCCAATTCATAAGCACAAAAAAATTTCGTGTCTTTATTTCAGTCACATGTTATATAAATGGTGGTATTTCAAGCCACAAGTGCTGGTCCAAACAACGTAATTAAGCATTTGGTTATGAATATACTGATGAATCGAAAATATACATTAATTAAGCAAAATTAAAAAAAAAAAAATTCCTTGTTACAGAAAATTTCAAAATAGGAGTCTCAATGTCAGGAGATTTCAGTTCACATATAATTAGAATATACAGAAAGCTTACACATGCATTCATTCATCGACCAGAAGATACAATTGATGGAGAATGTACATGCATGCAATTCAATTCAGTCGTCTGTAAATAATGGTCCAGATAGGTTATCCATTACTGCAAACTGCATGTTCTCCGATGGTTTCCAGTGCCTCTTTCTTTGATTTATAAACCAATTGTTTATTTGTTTCTGATCTAACCCCGTTGATTCAGCCAACGCTATCTTATCACCTTCCTGCATAATCACAGTTTACAAAAAAAAAAGATTTAGCTCTTCAAATGTTTATTATTATACATGTACAACACAAAAGAATTAAGTTAATTACCGTTGGGTATGGCCATTTGTAGTGAACATTCCACCACTCAAGTAGTGTTTGCCGAGCTTCTTTTGGTAGCTTTCCTTTCTTCTTCTTCTTTGAGAACTCCAACTTTAAAGAGCCAATGTGACCTCCAAACTTACGTAAAAGTTTATCTTTAAGATCTCTATCTTCGTCCCGAATTTGAGAGTCTGGCACCTCTGTCTCCCCAGCACTGTAATCCTCATCTGATGATACACCACCCTCCTCTGCCCACATCAACGCAACAATTCAATTTCAGTAATTCACGACATTTTTCTCTTCAATACAACACTCTAAGCTACACATTTCCCTTGACTATATTTCAGTAGTGTAATAATTCAGGGTCAATAGCAATCACTATAGTACAGTTTGAAAATCAGGTATGAATTAGTTTTCCAAGTTTGTTGTCATTCCCATTTAACAAAAGAATTAAACAAATATCAAATATGGGTTACGAATGGAACTAAAATTCTTGGAAATTAGAAGTTACCCTTAACTTGGTCTCCAATCAAACATTATATAGAACCAACACATAAAAAAAAAAAAATGCATGAACACATATTAATGAGATTATTTCTTGTTAGCATATAATCTCAATCTTCAGAGTAAGGGTTTCTCCATACGAACATAGCTATGATTAACTCGGGCCTCAAAAAACTAGGAGAAATGGGTTTCAGCATTATAAACAACATGAAACTTTGCAAAAGGAGATATCATTTACATGGAAAAAAAGAACCACTCGTCACAATCTATAACTCAAGAGATTATTTGACAAGAGCAGAGCTCAAATTTTAATGTCTAATAATACTTCTTTTCAGCCTTATTTTTCTGTTATAAAGCAACCCAAAAGAGCTAGCGAGGCACAGACATTTCAGAGAAAGAACCAAAAAAAAAATTGTAAAAAGTTAAATTCATTTTCGAAAGATTCAACAATTTGAAGTTGAATAAATATAGTTTGAAAATTTTAAGGAGTGTAGGTATAAAGAGCAATAAATAATGCGCTAAAGCTAGGGTAAAGGTAGGAGGACCCACAAGTAAAAGAATAGAATAGGAATGGAAGAGACAAGGAGGAACGGCTAGGGTGGACTGCACAGTGCTCACCGTCAACCAAAGCAGACGTGGGAATTGCATCAGTGTGGAGTAATGTCCATTGTCAGAGAGAGAGAGAGAGAGAAAGAGAAAGAGAGTCGACAAGATGGTACGGCCATCAAATCATATCTGGCAGTTGGCAGAGTAAATTAAAGCTAATGTTATACACTGCTACTCCATTCTAAATTTACCGCCCGGAACCCACGCCAATCCGCCACCATTTGGGCCCTCCCTCCCCCACTCCCCCTAACCAAGCAAATCTTATACTAACTTATCTCTTTTATTTTCCTATTTAGCCCATTACTATTATGCATAGGCCTTGCTTTTATTCAATAAAAAATGGAAAGGTTTTTCACTCATTCAATTTCAAAATGCGAAAACTGGACTTAGGATGGGACAATAAATGATGTAAGAGTTGTAATGAAGGCATTTGAATTGAAGTGAGAATTCATTAAATACAGATAGGTAAAGAACATTATGAGATGGCACCCTGGAGCATGAATGTAAACAGTGTAAAATTATGAGTTGTAAACGAGAGTGAAGCCACAGACCATAAAAGAAAACTGAAAAGAGAAATGGTTTGGGACCCATAAAGGTCAGACACGTGTGATGGCCATAAATGTAATGAAGCAGAAAGACCCACAACTGGGAACATATGTCTAATGGAAATGACAGGCACTAAGCAGTAGCAGATGAACCTAGTGCCCTCTGGCTCTGAAGACTGAAGACTGAAGATTAGACTATAACATTGAATCATCTTTATCCTTTATTATATTTATATATTTCTTCAAAAGCTGGTGGCTTCACAGCGAGAACAACGGGAGTCCATGTGAACTCCGACCACCCGCCCTACCCGGGATTGTCCAATAAATCTCTCTCTCTTACTAGTCAATGCTCATCCGGCTTTTCCCTTGGAAATTTGTTATTCAAACCAAAAACCCATTTGTCACATGGCATGTTTAAACCCAAACAGTGTTATACCCATTGGACAATTGCCATGACTAGAACTCTTATTAGTACGAAAACTGAAAAGTCTTTATTTCAATGGGAGGAAGATTGTCCTATTGATAAAATCCCAGAAAGGCCACTACTTTACTAAAGTATTAGTTAATGAGCTCAACTACCTGGAAAACAAGTCCACATGTTATAAAGGTTTTTGCATTATCCACATCTAACAAGAGCATACGTTCAAGACAATTGAAAAGCAACATAATAAAGTTTAATGCAACTTATAATATATAGCAATGTCATCATAATCACCATGCAATCAGTCCCAGGCAAGACAAATTCATCTCAAGCAACGTTTACAAATTCTCAAGAAATTCTATTGTAACAAATTATATCTGTTACTGCCTACAAATGCATTTCCCGACATCAAATTAAGCTAAATCTATTAAATGATTAAGAGGGGGGAAAAGGCAACCAGAAGTTCATATAAAGGGAAGCAGCAAGAACACACATGTTACAGTACCATGAACACATAATGATCAAGATAAAAGATCAGTCCTACACATTTACTTTCTTAAGTTTTAATTCGAAGTTCAGAAGGGTGGTTGAAAAAAGGGAAAAGTAAACAATTTATGAAGGAAATTGAATCTAAGAAAGGGTAACACTTTCCAGGATTACAAATTTAATAAACTATTAAGTCTTTGAATCACTCACTAAAGGGATGGCTAGTCCATCTATAATGATCTGGAATTAAAATGGGAGAAGAAAGTACCTAAAAAAAACATTTTTTAATTAAGAGAAAGTACCATTATAATCATCCAAGAATGAGGCAACTATATATATTAAATGAAGCAAAATGATCAAAAACCAGCTAACACACCAAAGGCTGATCCCAATAGTTCTGTAAGAGTAGCAGCCTGGCAAATAGACACCTTAACACGATCCAACCAAGTGAATTTATGCCAATATAATTTACAAGTGGATGTCTGCAATGGTGGCATGCCTAAAGAATCTTATTACTTCTTTTCTTCTTTAGTTTATATAAAGAATTCCCAGTTTTATAAAAGATAAGTAAGGAGAATCCACTGAAGCATAACAGAAAACAAAAGGTGAACATTAGAGTAATTAAAAATGGTAATCACATCTTTGAAAAGGTAATATGTACTTTCAAATTTTAAAAATAATGGTTGCCAAAGTACTGTGTGTGATCTACAAACTCAGCTGTTTATGCAAAGAAAAATAAATATAATAATAAAATCACGATCGATCTCCTTCGAATATATAAGGCTGCTGTTGCCATTCATTTGCATGAGTTCCACTCCCGTGCAAATGGAAACAACAACAGCTTCTCTCTGACAGATTGTTTTGAAAAGAACAAATCCATCCCCCTTTCTTACATATATAATTTATACTAAATAAAGAAATTAATAAATTAACCAAAAGCATAATCAACAAATGCGATTTGTTCTAGTACTAAATGTTTCCAGCTATTTTATTATTAGAAGGACAGAAACACATACTTGGAAAAGGATTTGTGAGAATTCAATCAAAATTCAAAAATAAAACAAAAGAAGCAGATTTCAAATAATCAAAAGGCCGCACACCGTTAAGCCCTAATTGAGATAAAATCTTTTTAGAAAGGCAAAATGATATATGCTCACGTGATAAGTAGAATCTTTAAGTTTAAGATGAGAATGCCAAGTGTAAAAATGAATTACACTTAGCATAAGTTAACTATTTATTTATTCCAGATTAACTCAAAACAACTTCCAAGAAGATATATATATAACTGTAAGTGGCAACATTACTTTGGCAGCAGAGAAAAAACAGACGATTCCCATGCCCATGTTTCATATACCGATTAACATACATATATATACATTACTGATGTTGGAACTTGAAACTCAGCAAAGCAATTCAGACATCATTACAGGCCATTGTCATCCACTTGAAACTGGCAGCTAGACCCATTTATTTTACAACAAATAGAGTGAAAGCATACAGTAATGTAAGATTACATCAATCACTCAATAATATTTGGAAAATGAAAAAACCAATGAGTTGATGATTATAGACAATATACTTACTTGAATATTAGTTTAAAAAGTTTAAACTAGAACTTATGCAATTGACAGAAGGATAGGAGCAGCGAACAGCTGAATTTTTTCTGATTTGAGTATTAAAATGAAGGAATTTCAAGCAGGCAGATAATTACACGACCAAATTAAGCAAATACTTCTACTTGTACTTCAAACATAAATTCAATTATTTCACAACAAATTACGACCAAATTAAGCAAATAATTAACCAGGGAACTATCTTTAGTCTTCTAGATATAAAATCTTTCAATTGGCTCATCTCAAATTCTCTTATATTGTAACTCTCTGGTTGAAGAAAGATATAGAGTGGAATAAGATTGTGGGAAATCGTATAACACCAAAGGAAAAGAAGCACAATGTGATTATAGCATTATATCCTCCCGGAGGATCTTCAGAGAATTTGTCAGCACCAAATCAAGCATGTTGAAACGATTCTACAAGATGTGGCAGTTGGTATGAATTGCACACATAGTTACAGGTTAAAGCATCACATATTTTATGCTAAAATTAACATGAAGTAGTGAGAAAAATCCTATACTCCAATATCAATCTACAATACGAAATTAGGAAGTAGCTACGAAGAGGAAAACAGCCAACTGACAAGGGAAATTAAGAAGACAACCGATTACTATAAGAAGTTTACCCAAAATTCATTGTGATTAATTTTAGTAGTTTTAGAAAGAAACAAGGCAACTCACAGTGTGTTCAATATATCAAGAACACTATTCACTATGTCATTACTGATCACTGAAACGTCAAAATCAGAATCTCTAACATAAAAGGTTTAACTTTGGAGCAAAGAGAAAAGGGAATTAAAAGAAACAAACACAACAAACAACAAAGACTGCCATAATGCAAGCAAAACCAAGTTCCGTATTTTGGAAAAAAGAAATATGAACTTAAAAGAAAAAAGAAAAAAACTGTTACAAAGTCCAACACTGCAGAAGTCTTGACCTTTTGTTTTTTACTCTTCCATGTATAAACAATAAAGAGAGATGAGAACATACAATCATAGACATTCCAACACTACACCAAATAAACCATTTTCAGACTTAAAATAAATAAAAAACCACAAGCGTGAAATGGAGAGAGAAACAGTCACTAATCTAAGACAAGAGTCTCTTTCGTCTCTAGGGTTTTTGTTGTTTGTATAAGTCTACCTGAAACCTTTGATTATTCTTTGAGTATTACTGTTGTTCTCAATTAGTGAAGGGATTTTGAAGATACAGAAAAAAAGAAGGATAGGCCTAGTGACTACTAGGACTAGGACAGCAATGGTTGTCGCTTCTTGTGGATTTTCATGTGCTATCCTGAACCAGGATTTACGCTACCGTACACCATGAACGACCACAAGAATTTGCCTGATGGTCATAGGCTCATAGCCATGATATTTTGAGGTTTCTATACAGAATCATAGAGTGATTTTTGTTTCCGTTTGGTGTAAGTGGTGTAGAGTAATGTATAGTCACGCAGTGAAAAATAAAATAAGATAAAAATAATAATATGCAGCACAAAAATCAATGGATCTCGAAAAAAAAGAACAGAAAAAAAAAAAGATTTCTTGAAACACCATTGAAACTTACAGAAAGAAAGAGAGAGAAGAGAGGCTGACCAGAAAGACTTCTAACGGAGGCACTAGTGCAGAGATTGCGAAGCTGCATTTCAACTTTGTTTAAAAAGGTCGTTGCTTCATCAAACGGCCTTGCAAGATCAGATTTATACTTCATCAACATGTCACAGTAGGTTTCCTAAGTCAAAGAGAAAAAAAAAAGGTTATTTAGAGAGTAAACAAAAACTCATGTTGGAAAGATAAAAGTTTTGTAGGTAGAGTTAAACCATGAACTCATCAAGCTCAGGATCAGCTCCCAAGCACGTAGGCACAATGTCTCGCTTAAAAAGATCGTTCTCTCTTCGAATTTCATCTAACAAACATGCTATCTCTGGAGGTGCCCCGACCTAAAAATAGCATCCATGAAAATCGATTGCTTTAAAGAAGAGCAACAGCAAAAAGCATGAAAAATAAACATAAAAAACCTTCATTTCTCAACATATTTCACATATATGACAGAAATGGTTAATTAACATTTGTCTCGGGTGATGATCATCAAAATCTAAGTTTCATTATTACGATTTTTCTTCATTGGAGTTCTTGTAAAGACAAGGAAGGAAATTATGGTGGAGTGTTTTCATTGTTTCCTTTGAGAGAACAAAAAAGAAATCTTGGATCTTGGAGATCAAGAGTGGAAAGAACAGAAAAACATCCACCACAAAAGACGCAGAGAAAGCTCAAACTCCGAGCAGACTGTGAAAAGATAATGAAAACGCTCATTAGGGTGGAATTTAAAGCACAAGCAAATGAAGAGTACTTCAATTTTCCTCTTCCAGCTCCTGTGTACTTGACAAGGAGTACTGACACAAATAACTTTATAGCAGAAGAGAAATAACTCCGGATTTATGACGAGAGAAGAAGTAGAACAAGATAAAAACCACGACTAGAGCTGCCACAAAATTGAAAACAATTAAACAAACACTTTGATAGTCGTTAAAACAACATATCTCAACCTATATAAGTAAAGATGGAACTTTTTTCACCTTCTGGCAATCTATATAAGCTTCAAGAAGTCTTGGATAACAAGGGTGAGAAGCGATTTTGGCTTTGATAATAGTTGACATGTCTTCATCTCGTTGAATCTCAGGAGTGATTGGAGGAGCTTCAGAGAGTGCGGAGGCGGCAGATAATAACTCATCGGATCCGAAGGTGGGAATCCGACCCGTACAAAGAAGAGAGGAGTAGTCAGAAGGAAATATCAGTTGATTCTCCGGTGACAACCACGCCTTATCCGGGTAGTCACCACTTGAGTTAAACCCACACATTTCATCCATGAAAAATATGATTATTCTTCGTCTATTACACAAAACAAAACAAAAAGTTCAAATGAAAATAGATTAATGCTATAACTAAATGATACAGGTCCGTGGTAAGAGGCATACAGCTAGCCTAGCTCTTTATAGTGAGAAATGGTATATATATGACTAAATTTAATTGAGCAATTATATATAAAAAAAAAAAGATAGACTGAAAGATTGATTTGCTTAGAATTGGAGTGGCAGAGAAGAACTGGAAGTGGTATTGGGGGGTGTGATATTGACGAACAAACAAAACCAAGAAGAGAAGAGATGCTGCGAAGTCTGTGGGTGTTTTTTTGTGAGCCTCAACTTGAAGCTCAGCTGCAGTAGAGTGGAGCTCTCCTTCCTTCTGTACTTGAGTTTTTTTTTTATCGTTTCTTTGAATATTCTTATTAATTTTACATTATTTAAATGGATTAATTTGATGGCAACCAAAGAGAACTAAGAAGTCCTCCGGAATCTCTACGCTAACTCGCTAAGTGTGGTGCACAACACATTTGGGTTATTTAAAATTTGTGTCGCATTTCCAAGCAACAGCTTCCATTCTATTCCATTACCATTACTAATGATACAATTTACCAATAATAACTAGTTTTACTTTTACATCAATTAATTCCTTGTTTAGCTTTTTAGTCATACTTTTTCGCCTTCTAGGGGAACAAATTATAATTTATAAACATATTACATAACATAAAGTAAAATATCTTTCTTAATTTCTAAAAACAATCCTTTTCGTATCTTTTTAATTAAGGTAATTAATGACTAAATACATTATTAATTACAAATACAATAGTGTAAGTAAACAAGTTGTCCTTTTGAAAATTGGGGACCCAGATACGGCCCAACTTAATACTCTTTTGAAACCAAATATGATAGTGAATCCAAAGGCTTAATTCAATTTACCTTGGTCAAGTTGTATTTGATTTGGATTGTAAAATTGGGCATGGTCAGGATCCCAGTTTAATATTTGTCTTATTCACTTAAAATCAAAAGGATATTCTTTAACTCCAGAGGATTGGCCGACGGTCAATGAGGTATAGTCATTTTCTTGAGTTCATAAGGTCAAACTTAGGGTCATCTACTACAATAATATTTGGTTTACCTGGTCTTTTAGGCTTGTAGGATATTCAGTAGATCCCAAGATTAATTGAGGTGCACATAAGCTGGTCCGGACACCCTGGTTAAAAAAAAAAAAAAACATTCTATTTACTTTATGGTACCAAGTAGACATTTTTTATATTTTAGGATAACTTTATCAAATATATTCTAAACTTATTTTCAGTGTAAATCTAAAATACTATAGATGGTAAACGTCACAAGGGTATAATTATAAATGATGATAAATATGAGATTTGAAGTTAAAAGTAATTTATTATTCTTGATAAAATAGTAGCTTCTATTATATTAATAAACTTTACGTTGGACACATGGTGGCCTCTTAATATTCGAAATTAAAAAACCAAAAAAAAAAAAAAAAATTTACTAGGAAAATCACCTTTCCCTAACGATATTCTATTTATGTCTCATATTCACCTTAATCTCAATCTCTAGGGGTTAGGTTAGGCCATAACTAAAAGGAAATAATTTTTATAAAATATTTCAGTTTCAGATGGTGACACAAGGTGGCTGCAACTAAATGCCTCTATCGGTATCTCCTCAACTCTATTATGATTATCATCCCACCAAGAAGGCGGCTTTTAAATAATTACGTTCATTTATTATATTCTAATCTTTTATATTTAATTATGCATTAGATACTCGAATCAAAATTACAGAGAAAAATATAAACAAGTTTTTTAATATTAATTATTAAAAAATATTTTTAATAAAAATAAGAATATAATCAAAATTTTAAAATAACAATGAGGTGTTCTTCTATGTTTAGAATTTTACAGAGCAAAAAGGGATTATTCATTATAGTTTCTATTTTTCTTAGTTAATGCAAAACAACATATTTAATCACTTAATCAAAATAACATTATATAGACTAATTCTTTTGTTAAAACGTTCTAATATATCATGATCATAAGAAATTATTGATGGATTCTTATTTATAAAATATTTTTTCAGCCTAATAACTGAATCTAATATTATTTAAATATAGAGTCCTAACAAAATTATTATCATGATATCCTAATTAGAGAATTTTTAATACTATATATAAAAAAAAATCTTTTAACTATAAATAGTCCAATTAAATCAAGACTAATTTATGTTTAAAAGTAACTTTTAAAATATTGGGATAAGAAAGTATTAAATAGCTTAGTATCACAAGATTTTTCAATAATAGTGGATGAATTTTGATAATATAAGGTTCTTCTTAAATAATTGTAAGAGCAAAATAATATATATATTTTTTTGAGAGATGCTAAAAAGCCCCCACCAAATGTCTTTTCAACCTCCATTAGTTAATTTTTTACTCAACTTGACAATAATATCCTTACAAATAAAAAACATTAGGCAGGAAATTCATATTTTTCCTAAAAAAGATGTTTCATACTATTATTCTCAAAGTTATATTAAATAACTCGTTTTTGGGTCTTGATTTTAAAATAACATGTTTATGAAAGTGTTTCAAAAAAATAGCCCTATTATAAAATTTCAACACAATTAGACCAATAGAATTTCTAATTTTTGTTTTAAGATTTTACCTGATAGTCCCAATACTAGACCCAAATTGATAGGATTCAAGGCAAAACTGACCAATGACAATTATATCCAATAAAAACAGATAAAAAATCTATTGGTTTCGACCTTTATCATCGATTATCGATTACTCCAAGTTTTTAGTTAAAGAAAGAGTAATTTGATTTAACGAGTAATGAAATTTTAAAATAAAACTAATTTCTTAAAGACTTTTTACAAGTTAGTTATTTTTAGTTCACACCCAAAAAAAACGAGTTAATATTATTTCCCAATCCTTACACAAGAATAAATGAAATAATTTGGTAAATTAGTGATGAAAGGGTGAAAGACTAATAGGAGAATAGGGAAGGGGACCCATTGTTACAATGGGAAATAGTAGAAGGGCATTTTGGTTATGGTGGACATGTTCACGTGTGGAACTGACATGAAGATGAAGGTACTTGTGGAAGATGCGAAAAGCATATAAAAGAATGGATGCGCAAGTGGGTTTATTTATGTTTATGGACTCTTAACTTTAATTTAGCCCTCTACTCAATTTAAGATTACCACTATTTGGTTTCTGTACTCAATATTTCACACAAAATTAACTAGGCCAATGTTTATAATTATACCTTTCAATTAATGTTTTTTCTAAAAATACCCATATTTCTGTAAACCAAAAAAGAAAATATATATCAATTTATCCTACTTTTATATATATATAAAATCTCTTTTAGAAATTTAAAAATCTCATAAAACTATTTTAGAAGTTTCTATTCTTAATTTTTTTTAGTAATGTTAGGTTCATAACTCAATCTCACAACCTCTAACATGATAGTTCGTCATTAGTTAGCTCATAAAATGAGTCACGTCCGCTTGTATGGGTCATGCTTGCCCATTTGCGAGCTAACTAATGACAAACTGTCACGTCAAGAGTTGTGAGAGAAGGTTGTGGAGCTAGCATTATTGAAAAATTTTACTTGTATAAGCTCTACTCGAAACCATACCAAACGGACTCAAAATACGTTGATTTTTAATTTTACCAAATAATTTGATATAGCTACATATAACGTATTGAGTAGCTAGTTTACTAATAGTCATGGGTGTGTTTGGTAGAGTATTTTAAATAGTATTTTTGAAAAAGTTAAGTTAGGTTGTTATTACGAGAGTATGATTTGAAAATTAACAAAAATACCCCATAAGTTTGTTAATTTAGCTAAACACCCACAACAATAAAATATTAAAAATTAACAAAAACACTCACACCCACCTATTAAATGACGACAATCGGCCACCACTGCCGAAGGGTGGCTGGAAGTTGCCGTAATGGTGCACGGCCAACTGGATCTGGCTAATATGTGTCGATCTAGCATTTTTCGGTCAGATCCGACTAATCATGTGGCATTATGGCAACTTCCAGCCACCCTTCGACGGTGGTGGTCAATTGTCAGCATTTAATGGGTAGGTGATGTTTTTGTTAATTTTCAATATTTTATTGTAGAGGGTGTTTAGCTAAATTAACAAACCTAGAGAGTTAAAAAATAGTTGAATATAATATGATTGAATTTTGAGAATAATGAAACAAATATGTATTTTGAATAGGATAAGATAAAATAGTAAAATAAACGTAGCCAAGTCCTAACCTTGTGCTTAATCTATTTCTGTATGTACCATGTACCCCTTTCAGATAATTTGGTATTGAATTTCAAGAAAAAAAGAAGAAGATTTGATAACAAAGATAATTTGTAGGAAGGAAAGTTCTCCAAAACACCCATCTAATTATCTAAATAAGAGGCTAACTAAACTCATGTGCACATGGACCCTAGCCCACAAACTTAACTCATTCAAATTAAAAAAGTAAAAACAATGATTAGAAAGGAATGTTTCCATTATACTATAATTGGATTGTTTACCAAAACACTAGTGAAGAAATAATTAAATTAGAAATTAGAATCGGGTCAAGTAAACCAAGCCAATTAAGACCCCACCCACCCAGCAGAAACCAAAGCCTGCAAAACCAGTACATAGTCATAGATGCAATATGAACTTTTGAAATTTCAATATAGCTTTCTGCCTGCTCTTGGATCGTATCTCTTGCTTGTAAGCAACTGTTTAGGTCATTGTTTGATTTGATTTGATTGATTGATTGATAGACTATTCAAGCTGGGTTGGCAAAAGCAAACCCAAACCCAAACCCAACCCAACCCAACCCAGAAAAAAACAAACTATAGTTTTGACCCTGACAACTTATCTTTTATTTTAAATCTCTACCGTTGGATCATCCTCGAAGCTCACAATGCACTTTTATCAAGAACAATCAAACAATTTCCACAAACACCTACTATGCACCCTACAACTTCTATTCTAACAATTTAATTAGAGCAAGGCAATATACAAAAATTTGAACGTACCAGGCCG